TATTGTGTATGCAAAGTGAAAATTTACATCTTGTAACATAATTCAATTGATTTGAAACTGTCTATATTTAAAAAGAACAATGATTATATTCTGTAGGGGTACTTCAGTGTGTGTGCTAGTTCAAATTCCCAAATCTAAAACAATCAGAAACCATCATTGTTGTGTCGAGGGTGCATATTTCCAGGTTAAGTTGCAAGACGAAGGTCGAGTTTAAGTTAGAGTTTGAATTGAGAACTAAGCAGTCATGACTCAGGGGTGACGTTAGAGAAATTAATCACACACATATGTGTGTATACCGTCTGAAGAGCACACACAGCTCTCTCTCTCTCTTTATCCATTTAAGCTTGTTGTCCTTTTTTTGTCACTGATTGCAGAATGTGCTTTAGGATGGTGGCATAAGAAGTGCACACTTGGTGCACTCTCACTCTCTCTTACACACACTCACACACACACGAACACACACCCAATTCCCTCTCCCTCGCATTGTTTTTTTGGGTCGCACTCATCTGCAGCCTTATTACCCAGAGTCCTCTGCGGCAGCCAAACCAGCGCTACGCTGCTGTTCTGTCAGTCACATCAGCACCCAGCACACGCTCAACCCAGCTAAGATCATCAGGAATTTCACCGCTGGAAAACCTGCTCGGAATTCAGAAAAAGGCTCTGCATATGTCTAATTGTGATGGAGTTTTCCACCTTGGCTCAACTGCTCTTATTCTCAGCCTAATCCCAGGATAAAATCCTCTTTCATCTCACCAATGTAATTAACTGAAAACATTAAATCTACAATGACTGAAATGAGTCTGCTCTGCATGTTCAAATTAGGATGGTTTGATTCTCTGCCCCTGATTTTATATAATATATGCAGTACAGTACAATCACTGTGACACATTGTGACTATTTTTGTCCTCAATACTATAATGTATTCCTGATTGCAGTGACTAAATACTGAATATAAGACTCCTATCATTTTTTATTGCAAGACAGAGGCCATTGCCACATACAGTTTAGTCATAAGAATAATGTGATGTATGTAATTTGTACCAGAGGCCTTTTGAGTTATCATATGGTGTTTTACTGACACCCCAATTGTTGTATGAATGAACAGTGTAAAGCGAAAAAAGAGAAGTGCTTTTTTTCTCCTTTTGATTAATTTGAACATCAAATAACTCAACCACATCCTTTCATTCAAATCAGAAAAAAAGTACAGAGGATGCTTTTGCTAGACGTTTAAAATCCACCAGTGTTCTTTTGTTACTCTTTATTTTCTTTGTGTTTTTGTGTGTAACTGTTTAAAACAGTGATGCACCGGACCTTCAGTCTACACTACCACACACTTCAAGTTGGACGCATTTTGGCTACTCGACTCCCCCTCAAAGAACTGACGGGCTGTTGTGGGAAGAGGCATTAATCCGTTGAGCCAACTAACATAAGAACAGACGAGTAGGCACAGCAGGGCTAATATTTTCAGGACCACTTAACTTTATGGACGTCGTGAAACTGGCAAGATGTGGAGTCAGACTTATTGGGATGTTTCCATCTCTTACTTTCCTGTTGCATCAGTTTGTGAATGCAAACTTATGCAGAGCTTGTTTTGCCGCCTGTTGTGCATAATTGCGTTTATTTTTGTTAGATAAACCACAGAATGTTTTTTCTTTTCTGTTTACACCTCATATCAACTAACACCGAGGGAGACACAGTGCGTGTCAAGTTAAAGGTGTTCATTCTGAATGAAAGTAGTTTATGCTCTTCAGCCAATGCAACAGGATGTTAGTTTTTTCCATAAACAAAAACTCTGTTTGGGACACTGTCATGATCAGCAGACAGACGAGGGAGGACGGGGGTAGCAAACTTAGTTACAGGCAGTATTAAAATGTAACACTAGAAGGGAAAACAGCGGCGGTTCTCTTCTTATTCTTACTGATTGAAAATGAGCTTTCTTGTGTGAATAAATCGTCACACATTTGTCAATGTGATTCAAATACACTGTGTCTGTGTCCTTTGTGTTTTTATGTGCAAGTGGGAGTATTTTCAGCAGGGCAACAATGCAAAATGAGGTGGTGTGTAAATCTTACATGTGCAGAGGTGTGCATCCTTTATTCCAGCATGAGACTAGAGGTTGCTTTGATTTAAAGTGAACATCAAAAAGGGGAAAAAATTGGCCACTTTAGAAAAGGCCTGTTTAATAATGATATGTTCTTAGCCTTGACACCAGAAGTTACTCATTTAAAAAACAAACCCAAAAAAAAAAAAACAGGAAAACAGACGATGTGACAAGGTAGACTATTGTTCACACTAAATTATTTACTGAGCCACACGCTTTTGTAAACTTCAACAACAATTAATCTCAAGAACCTCTTTTGTGTGAGAGCTTAATCGTTTGCTAATTACTGTCCTTGCTAACAGACACTCTCGTTGGAAATCTACTATTACAAAGCCCATTGACAGGCTCACTAAACAAAGGCTGTTTGCCAAAATGCCAAAGCGGTTGTTGTATAGCTGGGGAGGATCTGGGTGCAGCTTACTGTATGGAAGTGTGTGCTTTTTTGTAACTCTTTTTGTAACTGACTTACAAAAAGATGGGGGGGAAACATATCAAAGGAAAAAGAAAAGTAAGAGATTAAATGTTTTGGTGTTACTCTGGACTGGCAATGTATCCGGGGTGTACCCTGATGGATGGTTTTCCTCTGTGCTATGTGGGGATTGTCAATATGTTGAGCTGTGTAAGTGCAGCAGATAAGGACGTGTCAGCTCAACAGTTGGCAGGAGGAAGCCAGAAGATGTGCCGCGCCGAAACTGAACTGAAGAGCCTGAGAAGAAGAATACGATCAAAGATGAAAGGAATCTGCCTCTCTCTGACAGGGCACCTTAGTACATATTTAGCTTGGATTCAAGAACAAGAACAACCACCTTTACAATTGAATCCATTTAAATTGATGGCCTGAATTCGGGTCCAAACTGAGACTGGGGGACTGACGTTTCAGTCTCATCTGAGGTTTCTGGAATGTGATGACCTGCTGAGCCAGTCAGAAGATCCGTAAGATTACTGGCTTAGACACGAGTTGCTGCTATGTCATGAAGGTGTGCCAGTGACTTATCAGATACCAGTAACCATCTGAGGTTCATCATGGCTCTATCTATCTATCTATCTATCTATCTATCTATCTATCTATCTATCTATCTATCTATCTATCTATCTATCTATCTATCTATCTATCTATCTATCTATCTATCTATCTATCTTCTATCTATCTATCTATCTATCTATCTATCTATCTATCTATCTATCTATCTATCTATCTATCTATCTATCTATCTATCTGTCTGTCCGTCTGTCTCTCTATCACCTTTGGCCTGTTAACCTTTACTTCTTCCTCTATTTCAATCTCCAGTTTTTCTCCATCTCTTCCTTGTCCTCTTCTCCCTCCGTCCTCTGGAGTGCATGCTTATTGCCTGTGAGTGGTTGTCATGGTGATCGACCCCAAGGGACTCATCCCAAAACCAAAAAGTTCTGCTGGTCTGAAATAGAACCTCCTCCTCTCTCCAGAGGGATGGAGGGCTCATTTGGCATATGGAGGAAACCGAGGTAGAGGAAGAGAACGAGAGATGTTTCAGTCAAAGAGAAAGAGGAGACAGGGAGGGAAAGATGGAGAGGCAGGCAAAGAGAGAAAACAGGAGAGAATGAGGCAGCATACAGCCACTCCAACTGGGTCACATCGCAGGAGCATTGCGTAAGCATAAACACTGCTGCCCCTGTGCTATGCCCTGAGAGCACACATACGTGCACACACAAACACGCACACTGAACAAAATTCTGTCTTTCCAGACTGTCTACTGTCTGGGAATCAGCCATTTTGTGTCTGCGTTACTGTTCACATTTGAGCTGCAGCAAACTGTGGCCCTTCTCTCTGTGCTCTCTCAGGGGATTTCTGATGAGTACATCATGACAGTGGATTGAACCCTTTTTCCTCGGTTAGCTGCCAAGGTGTACAGCCACATAACATCATATGTATTCCCCTCTAAATATCCAAACACAACATATAGTTGTGTGAACACGAAAGTACTTCTTTGAATCATTACTTTGTTTTTTGGAATCCATCTGTTGATAAGATAATATTCGCCTCCTTTAAATAACAATATCTGATATGTGTGTGAGTGCTTTAAGCTTTAGCTCAAAGTGCACCAGCCAATCCAGCAGGTGAGGTTTATGCCGACAATCACTGGTCTCCTTCCACGTTGCATTCCTGTAACACTGATCCACCAGTGGATATCCCGATCATTTAGGGAGTAACCGTGCAGTAGCAGTGCTGGGTAGACGTGCAGTGGACACATCTGCGCGGCCCCTCTCTGCATGTCAGAGCATGTGCTGTGAACAGGCCCACGGTAACGGCTCGCCCGCTCCAAAGATGCTCATGGATGTCCCCTCAGGGATGTGTGTTCACACCGATGTAGTTATCTTATTTCATGTTATTCAGAAATGGTATTTATCTTATTATGCACATGCTATATCCTGTATAGCATGTGTGTGTGTCTCAGTGCGTGTGTGTGTGTGTCTGAGACAGAGGTTGTGTGTATCAGTGGAAGGTGTTTTGGTCAGGAGCAGGGACAGCCACAGCCGGCTGTTTAAAATCCTAGGTGGACGGTTTCAAAACCCATTGAATTTGAATAAGAGCAAGAGGACTGCAGATGTGTCTGTCCGTCTGTCTACTGGAGAACCTTTCCAATCGAGGAAGGAACGAGAGAAATATTGATTGACACCGACTGGGAAACCAGGAGGGAACGCGAGACAGAGAGAAGCAGAGATGATAGGAGGTGGAGTTAGCAGGAGGGGGCGTGGCTTTGCAGCTGTCACTCACGGGGGGTTACCATAGCGAGGGGGCGGCCCTCGACATCGGGGTAACCAATGGGAGACGACGCTGCTTGTGTCACCATGGTGACGGGGCTGTGCCCAAGGAGGTTGTGATGGGTTGACAGGTGCGTGACAATCGGAGCTCTCTGCAAGCATGTACGCCAAAGGCAAGAGTAGCAACGTGCCGTCCGACAGCCAGGCCAGAGAAAAGTAAGTTTTATTTATGGGGGAGGAAACTGCGGCTGTGAGGGAAGTTCCCCAGCAGCCGGGGGCAGTCACACACTGAGCTGCGGCAGGGGAGGGCGCACGGCCATACGCTCTGCGCTCTGCCAGGCTTGGAAAGTTGGCTGCTTCATTAATTTGCAACAAAAAAGAAAAAAAAAAGATAAGGCATGTTCGTGGCGGGGTTTAGGTGTCGGTAAACCGATAAGGTTAGACCTATTCGCTGGTTCCAGATTCAGAAGTTATTTCATTTTATTTAGTTGTTGTTTTTCCAAGTCGATTTCACTCGGAATCCTGTAAAATACTGCTCTGGGGATGTATAGGCATTTAAAGGTTTTTTTCTCCCCCTGCTTTTGCTTTTTCTTTTTGTCGATTTAGTCTACATCCCGATTGTGTCGTTTTGAAGGATTCGTCGGCTATGTTGACGCGCGACACTCGGTCTTAAATTTGGTAACAAATGGACAGTTTTGGAGACACGCAGAGCCGAAGTACGCGGCCACAGCGTGGACACAAGTCCACGCATTTGTCTGCTCGCGAACCGAGTTTAAAGAAAATAAAAAAAATTACGTGGCTTTTCCAGGAGACTGTCTTGCGTGAAAATCCACGAGTCCCGTCAGTGCGCCACTGGATGAGATTTGTGGCAGCAGACAGGCATCGTGTAAGCATTTATTTACGGAAAGGAACGCGTCAATCCGATCCGTTTTTTAAAAAGTTGAATTGTGTTTTACGCGTCAGCTTGAAATGATCAGCGGCTTTAATGCTGCTCACGGCTGTGCTGGTGTCTGTGAATGCGTCTGAAAAACAGAGTTTGACACAGCAACGGAAGGCATCTCTGTATCAGGCACGCGCTTTTTTTGGACAGACCTCAAGGTGACCACGTTAATGTCACAGGGATATGGATTCTGTATGAAAAAGAACACCACACATACTGCATGGGGAAATTTGACACAGCGTCTCTTGGTGCTTGTTTTTTTTAACACAGTATTTCCTTTGTGGTACTTTGGACGAAGAAGCTCTAGATGCAGGTGTTTGAAAGTCACAGAGAGCCAGATTTAGGATGCCTTAAATGATCTTTACACGACCAAAGGCTGTATCACAGGATGATGGAATGAGGGGAACCATGAAGGCAGCTCTTATAGAGTAGAGGCTTCAGCAGTGGTAGGGTTTATTTTCTCCTCCGGATCCTCTGGGTTCTGCTCAGAAACCTCACCTTCTGGATACGGCTCCTGTTTGGTGCATGGGTAATGATGTTGTCCTGCGTAGGTCTAATCACCCGCAGCAGAGCCCACATGTCCTGGGGCTGTTTTGGATTTTCACTGGTAGGAAGTTTTCTATTACGCCTCTGCAGAAGTTAGCAGGGACATGCTTCAGATTTAGGTTTTTCGTGGAAATATGCTGGATAACCCAGGTGGTGCAGAAATGATGTGTTTGTAGGACGTAATAAATGAGCGTGACGGTGATGGAGGAGGTCAGTGGTTCGCTGGCATCCAGATAACGCAGCAGCAACATTTGCTTTGTCCAAGACATTATGTGAGAGGCTAATTAACGGGTGTGGTCCAGATAGGGGGTGGACCTCAACATCTGGTCACAGTTTGACCTGACATGGCCACAAACGGTGCTGTTTGTACAGCTTCTTTGCTGAGGAGGCTCAGCCATACTTCTCTGAGATGCACCCAAAAGGAGGGAACTGCAAACAAGTGCATCTCCCACCTTTGGGAGTGCAGGCATGTCTGAGCTTTCTCAATCAGAGGGGAGATGAAAGAGGCTGATTTTCTGCTATGTTGCTTTCCAGGAGTCTGAAATGATTTTCCTGCTCTGTAATAGATGCGGATGTTTGTCTTTCTCCTCTCATTTGTAAAGTATATAAAATAAAAGTCTGCTGTTTTTTGGTTTGTCGCTGTCTGGTAGCAGTTTGTTCTCTGAACATCACAAAGTTATTGATTTCCTACTTGTATGAAGTCTCCTCATTGCTTGCAGCCGTGACCATTGATTGCAATGTTGTTGACAAACTTAACAAGAGAGTTCTGTTTATGCCAGGGAATAGAATATTAGGTGTGCAGCCCAACAGAGTCAGGTTGTCTGGTGTAAACTGTCAACAAGAAGGTTTGTGAGACCTAAACCACATGTGTGTAATGGTGTGATGGAAACAGACAACAGCATCTCCCCTGGGGCCGGAGAAGAAGAGTGAAATGATATGAGAAATGTGCAAAGAAGAGCTTGTATTTCTCTCTTTTTGTCACCTGTTAGAATACCATAAGGCAATTTGTCAAAGGGGGAGACGTCCATGAAAGACAGGATAGATCATATCGCTTCCTCTGCAGCCACTCACTTATTGTGTCTCTTGAATCCGCTACTCTCGTGTTTGTCAACAGTGTGACTGAGGGTTCATCTCGGTCCCACGAGCCCCATTCTTTATTCTGAATCAATAAGAAAAGAGCTGAACAGTGGGGCTCTGCTCCGCCGCTGTCTTATCGCATAACTGACTGAGGCAGAGATAGAGAGGTCGCTCCAGGCCGGAACGACACTCCGCATGAACACCTGCATCCATCTGTGCGTGCGCTGGGAAGCATCCATTTGTGAGCGTTTCTGAGGGTGTGATTCTAGTTCTGCAGGCGTTGTCCTTGATGGTTTCGGGTTTTTAATCCGGGCCGCATTTCAGGACTTCAGTAAAAGCCGTTTTTTCGCTGAAAACCGACCCAAACTTTGTCCTTTTTCTGTTGTGTATACTCTGTGTGTTGATCCACACGTGCAAGCGACGTTAGGCTCTGAGAGAAAAGAGACGCAGCCCTCTCCTGCTTTAGCGTGTATAAACTTCTTATTTTTCTACCAAACTGTTTAGCTTGGACCGTGTCATTATCTGTGTTTACATTTCACTTCAAGAGTGGACTTTCTGCCGTGACCGCCAAAGCCACCGCAGATGAGAGGGAGCTTCAGATTAAAAGGCAAAAAAAAAAAAATAAATCCAGCAAGTCCGAGTTGTGTTGTCTCTTAACAAGCAGCCCCGTACATCAGTGGTGTGCATCAGAGGAGCAGAGCGGGCCCGGCGCGGCCGAGCCTTCAGTTGCTTCTCATTTCTGCAGCGCGGCAGGGGATCAGAGAGCCGGAGAGATGGAGGGCAACAGCACACTGGGAGGAAGAAGGAGGAGGGGAGAGAGCGGAGCCCAGGGAATTTGCTGGATCATTAGTTTACAGTGTTGTAGTATTGACCTCGGAATGGACCCCTGTAGGCACGGGCCTCTGGCATCTCACCCATGCAGATGTACAGAAGCTCTAATGCAACCGACCTCTGTCGGATCTCTGTTCTCTGTGCTAAACATGGGATCCTTGTTACAGCTTGATGTTTTTCTTTTTCTGATGCACCACGTTGTAATCAAACACAGAGCTGTGAATGTTTGCCTGCCTGTTCTGTGGTTTGTTAACGCACGGATAGGATGTAGCAGATTGTGGTATAAATACCACTTGCACCAGGGGATCAAAAAAAACACAGCAAAGTCTGGAAAAAGCTCTAATATTTAATGCTGTGTGAAGGTTTACATTTTCATTTGGCAGACGCTGCCAGAGAGCTTAGAAAAGGACATTCCCGTTTTTCGTCCCCGAAGAAATCATACAGTCACTTAGATTGTGCGTGTCCAGGCCTTCAAAGAGAATCCACCAAAATGACATGCTTCCGTTACACAAATGTCACACTAGTTATGTTATCTATGCCAACTTTACATTCTGCCAGCAGAAGGTTTTATCCTAAAGGTCGGCATGGATATTGTGGTTAGTGTACACTTACAGCCAAGTACATCTGTTATTCCCCTGTATAAAATATTATGGATGGATTATGGTGGGAGCCACCGGCTGAATGAAATAGTTTAAATGCAGTTCATTTAAGAAGTTGTGAATCTGCCATCAGTAATTCCCGCTTTTTTTGTCCAGCGCTGGGCTGGTGCTGCGGCCAGTTCAGAGGAATTTCCACATCAAGAGAGCCATTAGAGAACCAAGCAATTCCATCACTTAGATTTTTACTATGTTGTTTGATTCTCTCTTTTAATGCAACCTAAATATCTGGAGAGGATGTCTTTCTGTTTGTGGATACATTTGTATCTACACGGAGTATCTGCCTCTTTTTACCTACAAACTGATGTCCTGATATTCTCGTTCTAGTTTGTGAATGCTTTTGTAAACAATAGTGGGTGTTTGTTAATGCTTTTAGCAATGCCTAATGGTGTTTTTTAACGCCTAACAGCATTTCTGAATGGCCCTGCAGGAAGGATTTATGCCCCTCATTTTGAGGATGATCTATAGGTGCCAGCATGGGAACATCAAAGCATCCGTAAACGTCGATGATTAAATGTGTTGAATGTGGTTTATGAATTTGTTTACAGCAGCGATTGTGAACGTTGCTCTATTTGCTGCCCGTCACACAGTTTTCACAAGCACAACTGGTAACATTAAAACTTTAAACGGCTGGAAAACGAGGGGAGCCCTTCATGTTTACGGGAGGTCTGTTTTGACTTCACATCCATGTTGAAATGAAATAGCTGAAATTGGTAAACATGCTGAGACTTTGGCAAACAGAGGTCTTACAGCGTCTTTGCTAGAGTAAAATGTTCTAGCACTGTCACTTAATTACCACAAAGGTAATTTTGTATATTAGTATAAATATTGGAAACTTGGAAAAAATTGCAGACCTGCATGGTAGGCATTGGTTAAACCAATGCTTAAAAATCTGTAATATATTGGTTTCAGAGAATAACAGCCAACCAACATCCCAACAATTCTCGTGAAACTGGTGCTCCAATCTTAAATCTTGTATTACCATTCATGTATTTACCATTAGAGGAGCATTAGTTATAGCACCAGTCACAAACTGATGATCTGAATCTGGATATTATTCTGAGAGAAAGCGTCCTCAATATATTTTTAAAACATCATAATGATTTAGAATACAATCTGATGTCCGTATGTATTAGCTCTTGCCAGTGTGTGTATGAAATTGTAAG